GTCCCATATATTATTTCCTGTTACCTAGCCGCATCGTTCTTTCTCCTCCTCCTTCGCCTGCATTCATCTATCCATACTGCTAGAGGTGATATGTAAGCGCATAGGTCATCACAATCAGCCGGTGGTACCCAAGCACACCAGCGTATTCCCTTTAATGTTCAAAATTTCTCATCAATTGTTGCTTCTTTGCCATGTCATTTCTCATATCATTGTTCTTTCATTTTCTTATCAATTGTGATTATTACATTAAGTAATCTTCGCTCTCTTTTTTCTTTTCAACTTCGTTCAGGAACTTCGCTTAACAGATTTTTTCGTTTTCAGGATATCTTCCAGTTTTTAAATTGGGTATAGAGCTCAGTGATAATTGCTCAATCGCTGTCTCATATCTATCTCGCTCACACTCATCTATCTTTCCAACATACCGCTCATACACCCTCACTCTCAAAGTGCCTTATAAGGTGGCAAAATGAAATTAATATGGTACGTTTAGCTTTATGTTTCTTTACTATCCAAGAATTCACATTTTTTCCAATGTTTTTTATTGATAAAATTGATTACTTGAAAGCATAATTGATGGGGGTGAAGTTGGTGATAAGGAATGTCTTTTGACCTTAATTTCCGTCAATTTTTTTATTTCAAAAATCTCTCTTCGATTTCGAGAGATCAAATAATTTAAAAATTGTTTTCAATTTTAAAACTATTTTAATTTTCCTTTTTTTCAATCTTTAAATAGCTGATTGATGGAACAGGCTGATCAAATCTCGATGACAGCAGTTTCGAAGCCAAAAAAAAAGCTCAAAAAAAGCTTCCTCAGGCTATAATGAGGTTGGATTGAAAAAGTCTTTCGAAGAGGAAGGGAAATGAATCAAAAAACTTTCCATTTTTCTTATCATGTCAGATTGATTCCTTAACATTTATATATCTCCTTCATTCTCTCTCTCTCTCTCTCTTCTTCTTCTTCTTACCAAGTCTGTGAGAACGAGAGAGAGAGAAGAGTGGGTGGCCAGATATTGCAATTCCAGGTAGACACGTTCGTGATCTAGAGCTCACAACTGATTTGGTCTGTTTGTGGCTGATGTAGTTAGCGATGATCAAATGTTCAAAAACTTACAAAATTTTGTGAAAGGAGAAACTGTTAGGAAGAGAACGTGTTTTTTTTGACTCTCAGTTTCGTTTAGAAAGCGAATGCAACTGAAAGAGAGAGTGAGAAGCTATTCCACCATAGAAAACGAAATAGGATAAGAAGGATCAGGCATCAAACACAGCTAATATCTGATTCTGTCATGTTGTCGGCTAAAATAGAGACGAATAGATAAAAGCCGTGAAGAACAAAGTACGAACACACAAAATTTCCGGTACTTTTAAAATTCACGTGCAGCATGACTCGAGATCTTTGCCTCTTCCACAATTTTCTTTCTCTCACTGGCTACATCCTTACGTAGTCAGTTTGCCTCGAAATAGGAATTGACGAACAACCGAACGACGCTTCGCAAAACCGAAAATGCAAGTCGGAAAAGATCGCCTGAAAAACGAGGTCATGAAAGTTCCGCAAAAGCCGACTGGCGGGTCCCACATTGCCTTGTATAGCTATATTAAATGATGAAATTAATTGAATGTAGGTATATCTATCCATGTATTTGGATTTCTTATCCATGATGAACATGAGCCACGACAGATTGAAGTCAATTTACCTGATTCTCGCGCACCTTTTCAATCTTCAACAGCTGGCCTAGAATTTCTGGCACTAACGTCAGACATTATCAGCTGAATTTGATCCTTTTGCTTCGAGCGAGAATTGCGAAAGTGAAAAACAAATTAAATCCGTTCGGATGATTACAAGCCCGTAATGAAGGTGTCTTAGCATATGGCGAAAGTAGGGGAAACGAAAATCAGTTCAGTGAAATCGTGCTAGGATCCAATAATCACATTATGCGAAGCTCAGCTCATACAGTACATTCGACTTTTTCAGGACCTTGCTGCTAACTGCTCTCATGCTCAGTATATCATGTACAGCTTTCCCAATGTTTGGAGCTAATTTGCCATCAGACGACGTGCAACTATCAGATCCATCCGTAACCATCCATCATCGACATAAGAAGGTTTGTTGATATTACTTTGGTGACAAAATCTCATTTGAATCTTTGTAGCATCACATTCGTCACAAACACCGTCGTCGCAGTTTATCATCAAAAGAAGATGCGAAAGTTCGTCGCAATAAACAAGTCATGCTCACAAAGCCATACTGGCCATGGCCCTAAGAGCTTCTTCTGATACGCTAGAAGAAAAAGCGCGACGAACAACAATATCTGAACTTCATTAAAGAAGCAGAAGGAAACCAAGAAGAACCCACACGACGACGACGACTATATGTTGAAACACATCTCATGCTCATATCAAATCTATATCAGAATATTTCATCTGTATTCAGTCATATTGCGAGTTCCTCATTATCATCTTCCGGCTTCGTACCGATCATATACTCAGCCAAAACAAAAATTCATCGTTAACGATCTGATTTGCTTGTAGTTAGTTATCCTATATTTGCCCCAATCCACTGATCTCTCCTAATAAGCCATGTCAAACTATTATCTTCCCATATTTATACACCGAATCTCCAACACTGCCATACTATCTTTCATCATTTTACCGATTTGTACAGAAATGCCATTGTTCATTCCAGTCAGTATTATATATTAAATCAAAAATTTCTTTGAAAATAACAGACATTTTTTCATTTCTTTAAACTATCATCGAAGAACAAACAAAATGTACTTGAATGACTCAGAACTTTTTGCCACGCGGCTTCCGCTCCTAGCCGCCAATCAAACTCTGTTCACGTGAAATGCATTATATTTTTAACGAAACGTTGAGCTGAAACGGTTGTGCAGGCGCGTGGTTGACTATTCGCAATTTAAATGTCTCACATGCTTCATTTAGTTTTTTCATACATCCATTAGATATCTTATATCAATTCAAAAGTTAACATATCGGTCTGTCCAAGGATTTTGCATGGCGCCTGAACAAAAGATGATCTGGGTTGGTGTCCAAAGGCACGACCATCAGAACAATCGGCGGCTTTAAGAGAGTAGGGAGCGACATTTTATAATTTTCTTAATGTTTTCACCATTCATTTATCTTATTCTTCTTTTAAAGTACATTATGATAACGAGGTGCATATAAGAGATATTTATCAGAGATGAGATGATAATGATAATTGCAATTCACATATTATATTATAATCAAACGAATTGCGCAATAATATCAATTTGATTGCGAGTTTACATGATCGTCTTAAGAAGAGAGAAAATGGCTTTATATCACATTCAATATTATTCCTTTTCAATAGTTTCCATCGTCGGCACCAGCCCGAACCAAAGTTTGGACAGCCTGAACATATTCAAATCATCTAATCAGGAACTATATGTGATTTTCGAACCTTATTTTGAATTCCTGCCAATTTAGGACAATTCGTAATTCTATGACCCAATCCAGAACAATAGGCACATCCCTGGACAATAACCGTTTGATGGGATAAAAGTCAAAGAACAAACCACATCTCCAGAACTCGTAGTTTCCTTGATATCATCACTATCGCCGGCCATTTCTCGTAAGAAGGCTGGTAATTCTTGACCGGCTTCCACGAGAAGCTGCTTCAAGTCTTGCAGAACAGAGAGATCTGAAAACTCTTTTTTATATAAAACTTAGCAACAGCATGTTCTAACCAGATTTACGGTTGACGAATGTCGTTGCAACACCTCGTCTTCCACTTCTACCAGTACGACCGATTCTGTGAACTAAAAAACCTTTTCAAACAAATACTTCTTCAGACGATACTAACCGTAGTTTTCAATATCTTCCGGCATATCATAGTTAATTACATGTTCAATTCCTTGGAAATCGAGACCTTTAGAAGCAACATCAGTAGCTACCAACACATCTTTCTCTCCCTTTCTGAATGCATCTACTCCAGCATGACGATCCTTTTGATCTGAAAAACCATAATCCTGCATGCGAAAACACACTTCTCGTAGACATACCTTTACCACCATGCAAAGCGACGACTTCCACTCCTTTTACAAGGAGATATTCATAAATACTGTCGACATCAGTTTTTTTCTCAGCGAAAATCAAAACTCTGACAAGATTGAAATTGAAATAGTGAAATAAAGAATACGATACTTAGGAGCTGTTTTCTGCAGACAATCTAATATCCTGGTCAGTTTATCTTCTCCACGTGCATATTCGATTTCTTGAAGAACGTTCAAAGAAGCTGCTCCTGCTCTTCCCACGTTTACAACCTACACACACAGTTAGATACTAGTAAAGCAAGAAGGAACTTACAACAGGCCTGACTAGAGCTGATTTCGCGAAATTCTGAATTTTCTTTGGCATAGTGGCGGAGAAAAGAAGTGTTTGTCTTTGGTCCTGTATAGGAGGTGTTGTTGAAATGAACCATAATCAACTTACTTTGAAAAATGAGAAAATGGACTTGATTTCATCTTCGAAACCCATGTCTAACATACGATCAGCTTCATCAAGAACTAAGTATCTACAAATCTATAAACAACCAACTTCAATTCGATTTTCACAATTGAAAGTACCTGTAAGTTGAAAATCTTTTTTGTTAACATATCAGAAAGACGTCCTGGAGTTGCGACACAGATGTGAACTCCACTAAAACAGAGAACATTAACAGTAACAGAAATATCGCTTACTCTTTGAAAGCTCGTGCTTGTTCACCAATAGGAATACCTCCTATGCATAACCCACAACGGAGAGAAGGCAGTCGGTCCTCTTCCAGACCTTCGAAGATATCACAGATAACGTCATAAATCTGCTTAGCCAATTCTCTCTGAAACAATAACTCATATAAATGACATGGTTTCGAAAAACTCACGGATGGAACAATAATCAAACCATAAGGCCCCTCTCCTCTCTCGAAAGGAATAGCCTTCTCTTGTTCTAAGCAGAACATCACCAGTGGTAGAACGAAAGTAAGGGTTTTACCGGAACCTGTGGAAGCGATTCCGATCATATCTCTTCCGCTAAGTCTGAATCAATAAAATGAGCAAAACTAACGAAGCTTGATGCTTTACCCTACTGGAATTCCTTGAACTTGAATTGCAGTTGGTGTTTTAATATTTTTTCCTTTTAAAGCACTGACAATTGCTCGAGGGAACCTCATTTCCTATACAATACAATCAGAAGCTGGTGATACCAAAACGACGTACTAGAAAACTACCAATAGGTGGTGGGATGTTCTCTCCTTCAACTGATATACCACGTCGTTTCCTGAACTGATCATGGTCATGCTCTGTCTGTTGTCGAATGTGAGTAGGAGGCTTCCAACTGAATAAAGAATACGATAACGTATTAAATATGATACAAACCCTGTACGGAATGAACTTTTGTATTGAACACCTTTGGCAATTTCAGAAACTGCCATCAAAGCAGTAGAAGTTACATTGTTGAGGATATCTTCCTCTTCTTTACGCTGCTTCTCCATAGGATCAACATCTAGGAATATTCAACATTGAAACAGCAGGATAACGATATGATTACCATTAGCGTGTTCTTTCTGTTCTGCGTGACGTTCTAACAAACTTTTCTTCGATTCTTCTACTTTTCGCTCTTCTTCTCTTTTACGTTTCAGCTCTCCAAAATCTTCCTTTTGTGAAGTGTTCGGTATTAACACCTGCTTTAGCAGAGCTCTACGTGTTAACTAAAGATGAATGAAATACAAATGACGCCAATAACGACAATCCAAACCTTTTCCCTCCTTTTCTGAGCAGCTGATAGAAAGCATTCGTCGTAATTATCGTCATCTCCCGACGATATATTCAATCCATCACGGCGTTCTCTTTCCTCTTCCTCTTGAAGGCGTCTACGTTTTTCCTGAGATGAGAGAGAACAATCAAAAGATAATTGAATTAAACTTACTCTTAAACGAGACAAAGTATCCTTTACATCCACATTCTCATCAGTCATAATGTATTTGAATAGATGCTCGGATTATTCAAATAACCTTTTTCGAATATTTCCAATTGCGTACAAGACGCAGATGTACGTAATTTATTCTTTTCAAACTTCATTCACTGCTTGATAAAGGATTAGCTTCTCCATTTCCTATTAACTTCAAATGGATATCCCATTAAATTGGTGCTCAAATGAATCCTTTAGATTTGTGAGAAACTTTGTTGGTTCCCTGAAGAATGGAAACGATCTAATTTTGTATTCTGTTTGAAGTTTGATCTTCCATCATGTTCTCTCTCTCTTTCCCATTAGAAGAATCGCTGTCGGAATCACTGCTATGTTTCTTCTGCTCTGTTCTTTTTGCTTTCCCATCGAATGAAAAAGGAGCCAAGCAACCAAACCTCCTGCAAAAGCGGTAGTTACATAGAGCGCATCTTATGCTGGTTGACTTGCTAATTGGAGAAAAGCCATAGCGGCGTCCACTCAAAAATCAAAAACAATCAACACACGACCAAATTAGAAGTGAAAACACTACTAGTAGGAAAACATGGAATTACTGAGAATTTTATTTTCCGCGGTTCGGATTGCCTAAGTAGATTATATGAGGAGGAGGTTGCACTAGGCGCGCAGTATCAAACATCGTAACCTTTGGAACTCACAGCAGTGAACTATGTTGTCTATAACTCTTGTTGTTTGAAAAATGATTTTGAATGATGTTTGAGTCATTTGTGATTGAATCACGGATATAATGTCTGAATAGAGAAGTATGCCATTCATAGCCACCCAAGATCATCATCGTTGTGTGAAAAAATGAGGCTAAGATGTGCCGACTGTGTGGGTCTTAGCGAATTAGTTACGCCGAATTGAAGTCTCCCGTCTTCAGCGATGCTATGAGCTGTGAGATTGAATTGAATAGAACCTTCTGAATGAAAAATATTATTTTTTTTACAAATTCCCCAATTTCATATCGTATTAACGATAAGCAATTGGATGACTTTTTGAAAAGCACAGCCGATAACATCCTGATTAAGCCTTCAAAATGATTTTACATTCTGCACGTGAGCATTACGTGATAAAATGAAAATGATATTAATAGCACGTGTAAGAGCTGATTACAAGTCTTACAAAGAAAATTCTTCAAGGGTGGTGACCGTATTATTCTCGTCTTTAAACGAAACAAAGAACCATCAACAGTACTTTGATTTGAAACTTGATAGCTTTTGAAATAGCAATGATCAGCATGAAAACAGCAGATGCAAGAGAACCCCTGCTCCTGAGACTAATACAAATTCCAAACACTTCACAGATCCCTTACAGACAGTTATATGAACATGGCGTGTTCCTCTTTTTGCTGTTTTTCTCAAATCCCTGCACTCAAACAAAACTTCCCAGACCTCCTACTTGTGGCAGCACGCACACATCTTCTATCTCCTGATGCCCTCGCGTTTCTGTACTCTTCCTACATCTCCCCGTCTACATCTCCCCGTCTACATCAACATTCCGTCTTTTATAATTCATTACAAAGATTTTTAAATATTATTTATTATTCAAATTCCTGATAATATAAAGTTGCTTAAGAATCAAAGTGTTCCTTGTCGAATACGTATTCTCCCATTCCTGGCCCGAGTCTCTTCAAGTTAGTAACCATCTTAGCAATTTCAGCAATAGAGTTCACCTACAATTATGCATTTTTTTAAAGACTTGATTTTCGGTTTTACTTGTTCATCTAAGAATTTCTCCTCCAAGAAGTCGCTGGCATGAGCATCTGATACGCTTCCTGAGAGTGTGTGAAGAGCAAGGAGAGATTCATTGTTAAATCGTTCAAGAGCAAGGGCAGCCTGTAATATTTTTCAAGTAAGATTCGTGTCCACGTTATCACCAAAGATAAGGTGAAGATTCGTAAATAGGATCATAAAAACGAAGGAAGTAACAAAGTTTCTTCAATGATGTTTGAAAAAAACAGTCACGCACCTGGAAAGCTTCAAGAGCACTTCCCCAGTGATCCTTTTCTGGCTTCTCAACAGCCTTAAGAACAACACGTCCTCCACGGAGGTTTTGGAAACGCATCAATTCGCTAGCGTGCTCACGCTCTTCATCAGATTGTTTGCGGAACCATCTATAGAATAGATATATCAATGATATTCGTTTTTGTCAAATTGCTCACTTGGCAATGTTGGTAAGAGCAACATCATCACGGTCGAAATGGCAAGCCATTGAAAGGTAGACATAAGAGGCATAAAGCTCGATGTTAATCTGAACATCCCGCGTTATATCATCATTCATCTTGCCAGCTTTACCTGTTTGTTAACAGCGGCTTCAAGATCACGGTGGTAGTTTTGGCGAACAAGAGACTCAGACATATTTCTGAAAGAATATACAGATAATAACGTAAAGTCATCCAACCAGAAAAAAAAAGAAGAAAAATACGACTGGCAAACGCAAAAATAACGAGGAAGCAATTGAATGGACGAGAAGACGGCAGCCAAATTTGATAAGAGAGTAAATGAATGTTAACCTCAAAGGTATATTGATCTGACATCATTCAAAATACAAAAGGAAAACAATTTTTAGAATAACAACAATATTGTGAGAAAGTTGTGGAGAACTACAAAAAGTGGAATCTAAACTACAATCCTGATGCGCGCGGGATAGGAAATTGAAGGTACGGGTTCCCAGCACATTTGAGACAAAACCAACTGGATCTCTATGAAAACGAGGTGTGCAGGTATTGCGAGAGGATTGGTAAGAAAGAACCAAGTGAACACACTGACCTATTTATATATATTTATACTGCTGCGGATTTGCTTATCAACGAAGACGAATGTAATCAACACTCTACCTTTCCTAGCTACCGATATCGCGCTTATCTAATAATATTCGCTCACAAGCTATCATAGCAGAGAAATAATCTTAAGTCGAAGATGTGTTGAAATTATACTCTCTACACTGTCTGATGTAAGTAAAGAGGCGAATCATTTGGTTATGTCTGCCAATTCGATCACTCTCACTGAGCAGCACAGCAAAGGGCAATCCCGTGATGATGGTCGCTCGATCTATTTGTGCGCGAGTCATTTGACAAGTAAACGAAATAAAAAGTTAAATTGTTTATTATAGTTCGATTAGGTTTTTCGTATAATATACATGAATTAGTGATCATTAGAACATATATTACACTTCGTATTAGCCTACAGGCATGTCCGGTCACTTGTGTTGCTTCACAGCTGCTCCTATGGTTGTCATGCTCATCTGTAGCAACGAATGAGATTAATTCAAATCTGAGAATTATGCATCATACATGCTGGGCGAACTCCAAACTCCTCTTGGACTCAGCCTCTTGTGTATTCGAAGGGTTCAGACCCACAATGACCATTGTTTTGGAATTTCCACCACCTAAACTGCTCATCAACAACATTGTTAATTTGGAGTCACGATAAGGAATGTGTTGGCTCTGAAAAAATTGGATCGTTTTGCTTCACATGCAAGACTTCTCATATCAACAGCCCATTCTCTCTTCCTCTATATCTTGTACAAACAAACCTTTGTTAATTGGGCTCGAATGCATTTTTGTAAGTTTGATAACCCCAAGTTGATAGAGGTCATTTCCTTGAACCGATCTTTGTCATCTCCTGAGCCTGATTCCTTAGCTCTTTCGGAACCAGCAAGATCAACCAAAGAGAGTGTTGATTCTAGTTTAGTTTCTAGAAAAACAAGTTAATAGTAAAAGATCATCACGCACTCAGAATTTCGTTAGTGGCTTCAATGTGCATCTGGAAAACTGCATGGCTCCTACTGGATTGTTCATTACACTTGGTTGCCGCAACTGATCGCCATTTACTGGCTGTAACCAAGATCTCAGTGATCTGAATAGCTGTATGAAGTTCGGTCAAAACGTGGAACATCTCATACATCATCTTCAGAATTGATTCCTAATTTGGTCGCATCACTAGCAGTACAGTTACCAGATCCCATCTTCAGATCTATTTGACGTCGATTGTTCAGCAGATCATAAACTTCCTCTACGTAAATTTCGAGGAACGAAACTTTGATTTCAAACTGAAAAGATTTCAAAGTTCAAAGAGAGAAGACTTCGCTTCACATACGGTCCATCCTAACTCAAACAACTTGTGCTTGTTCAAAAATATGCTCTTCGCAGCTCGAGGAATCAGACCTTCTTGTTCATTGGACCCTATAAGCCTGGCTTCAAAGCAGCAAATGTGAGAAACAAAGTAACCTCCAATCATAGTATACGTTTTTCCACTACCCGTCTGTCCATAGGCAACAATAGCCACATTATATCCGTGTAGGCAAGACTGAAGTCATTTCGTATGAATTGGATTAAAACGAAACCTCACATGAACAAGTTCTTCTACATCTTCAAAGATTATTTTCTGATTGATAGTCGGTGGATACACTTTCTGATATCTAAACGACACCGACTTCCCGTTCTTAAACAAGAATGAAAAATTGAAAGAGGAAGAAATTTGAAAATACCGAGTCAAGGCGAATAGAAGTTGGTGTGGGATAGTTTAGAGAGCTGGATGTGTTTTCATTGGGAAGAGCTGGGCGTACTCTAATGGCGATCCTTATTTGACCCTATTACCATGCCCTTTAAAACTATTTCAAGAGAAACTTGACACTCACCCTCAAATCCACAACATCGTTCAGAAGTTTTCTGGAGAGCAAATCAGATTGCCTCAACTCACTACGTAGACTCGCTTGTATTTCGCACAAAGCTTTAATCTCTCGAACCTTTGCTTCCAGTTCTCTTTTTAATTCGTCTTTTTCTTCATTCAATACTCTGTGAGCATCCTGCAAGAGTTAGTCGGTTCGATACGGATTGCACAAGAGAATGAAAAACCTTTAGAAGATCATGATTCATGTTCAGAGTATCCATTTGCATTTGTTTCTTCTCCAGCATCATATTCTTCGTTTCGATCTGAAAGAAGAAAAAGAATGTTACACGACGTCAGCAGAGTCACGGTACAATCTCTTCCTTCAGTTCAACCTTCTCTTTCAATAAGTCCATTCTCGATTCTAGCTCTTCTACTTTACGTTTGTGAATATTTTCCTTTTCTACCAAAAGTTCCTCGAAGTGTTTAACTGATTTGTCCGCCTCTTCAACTTTCCTTCGGAAATCTACTAGAAGTTCATCTTGGTTCTGGATGGTCTCCTTGTGAGATGAGTTCTCAGCTGACACCTTTTCCAAACGTTCTTCCAACTTCTTTATCTCATCATTCGGTCGAATCGGACATTTTATGGCACTCTAAACTCAAACTTCATTTCAAACTGAAAACTAGGCTCTCACAGTAGGAGTGCTTCTGGCAACTGAAACAAACATTTGTCGTATTTATAAATTTATTATCTCACTTTTGGGAGGAGGCGAAACTGCTGCTCTTCTGTCGATTGATCTCAATCCCGATGGTGCTAAACACAATTTCTTATATACTACCCAAATCCCGCAACTAACTAAGATGAACACTAGGTTTAATCAAGCCAGTTATTTCTCTGCTCCGCCGTCTGAGATTTGCTATCTGACCCGCTGTAAGCGATCAAGTGGTTATTATATGTTTCATTCATTCTCTTTCTTTCTCTCTCTCTCTCTCTCTTTCCCTCTCTCTATTCTGATTCATTTGTTTTTGCCAACCCACCTGGCCGATTTAGCGGCTTTAGAGGAGTTTTACTGTTAGGCAGTGTGGGGATTCTGGAAGGCATTGACATGCCTGCTAATCGCTTTTTACCTGAAATACCGTAGACTATCACTTTAGCTGACAACAACCGAATGGAGTGAGCATCAACATATCAAAGAGCTTTCGAATATCTATTCAAAACCTAAAAAACCTCTTCCATACAGCTGAACGTTTGAAAAAAGTTGCCACTTAAACTTTTATTTCGGAACGAATTAAAACAAATTAATACAATGTTTCAAAAGATAATCCGCCTCCATGTCCTTTAACTCCAATTTTCGAAAAATGAATTGCAAAATAGGAAGGGATGAATAATATTTTGGATTACTTTCAACATGCGCCATCCACATCTCTCGTCTCTAAACAATAGACCCTTTCAACATGAATTGCTAACTCTTCATACTCCTGTCGTAAAAAACTAATAATTTCGTGTCTCATACAACTCAACTGACTACTCGCTTCGCTAAAACATATCAAAACTATCAAAAAGTTTCTTCAAATTAGAAGGAGAAGCTAGCTTCTCTGAAGAAAATTCAAAAATAAAAATATCGCGCCTTCCCCAGACTCATTGACGCAAACGTGGTTGATGGCGTTTTCTTGGACTCTTTGCGAGAAATAGCTATCAGGCACTCAGTATTGTAAATGTTTATGAATCATAACGGAAACATAAAAGATTTGACTAAACTTTCAATTGTTTCCGCTAAAGTGTGCGTTTTTCGAATCTTTTTCTTGTATGATCGGCTTTGCTCTTCTCCAAAAAAGGATGAGCAAGTTTATAATTTGACTTTTCCTTTCTGTGGTGTTTAAATGTCAAAAAGACGCTTGATAAAGTACACACGTTTTTATCGCTTCATTTCTCAATTCATTCGTTAATACGTTTTCAATAATTAAAAATTTCCCATAAATCCTCTATATTCACCAAAAAAATATGAACTGTGACTGTGACTGGCTCTCGTCTGTCATGCTGTCCGAAGTCTTCTTTCTTAGTCGGATGATGAATTCTCTAAATGATTACAGTAACCTATCTCTAAATATGCAACAAGATTATCACACATGAAAGGAAAGAGGCAACGAGCTTTCGAACTTTGGCCTTCTATTCGTTTCTATGAAACAGCTTTAGAGAACTCGGCCTAAAGAGAGTAGAAAGCCTATGAAGGACATTGATGCTACTTTGTCAAATAGGGCCTTGGCATCCTATGCGTCCCTAACGCTCTCGACACTTAGAGCTGAACTACTTCTCTGCTGTCCACATTTTTATATCTCTCTAAATTTTTTTTTCTTACAAATCTTTTTACTACCCGGCTCCTTATTATATGCTCGCCTTCAGAATGTTTGATGATAGTGATGACTCTGACGAGCGAAGGTCTTCCATACCCTCTAGTTCACGACAATCTTTCGATCCCAAACCACATTTGGTAACCATCGTGAAGGCGAATACAGGTATCGGACTGTATTTAAGCCTTGCTAATTGAATTGTTTGTTTGTTCAGAGTTTGGCTTCAATGTAAAAGGTCAAATTAGCGAAGGGGGCCAACTAAGAAGTTTAAACGGCGTGCTATATCCCCCGTTACAGCATGTAAGTGCGGTACTGATTGGAGGAGTAGCGGAAAGAGCAAATTTACGGAAAGGCGACAGAATCCTTGAAGTGTTCGTATTTTTGTTGTTGTATATATTAGTTTATGAAATCCTCATTTAAGTAATGGAGTGAACGTGGAAGGAGCAAACCATCGACAAGTCGTTGAATTAATTAAGAGAGGTGGCGACAAATTGACTATGTTAGTAATTTCAGTTGATGAAAATGAAATCGACAGGTGATATTCCGCAAAATAGAAAAGAATAAATATTTTCCGTTTTTTTCCAGGTTTGAATCTTTCGAGGAAAGCATGTTATGCAGCAGATATGATTATTCGGAGAGTCGTTCTCTGCCACTAACAATCCCTACTTATCACACAGTGAACGATGGAATAGAACGATATGTGGTAGTCGTGTTCATTGTTTTTCCTTTCGGCTCATGTCTCGTTCAGGTTTATAACATATACATGGCCGGAAGACATCTAGGTTCAAGAAGATATAGTGAATTCGTCGAGTTAAATTCGATTCTAAGAAAGGAGTTTTGTGATTTTTCATTTCCAAAACTTCCCGGCAAATGGCCATTCAACCTTTCCAAACAACAACTGGACTCTAGGAGGAGGTAGCGGGCTTTTTTCTTCTTTTCTTTATCTCATTGTCGCCTGCTTTAGAGGATTAGAACAATATTTAGAGAAGATTTGTTCTGTTCGAGTGATTGTTGACTCGGAGATAGTTCAGGCACGTTTCTTTAACATTTTTTTTTGTTATCTTTGTTCTGTCTGCAGGATTTCCTCATGGAATGTGATCCTTTATGTGAAGTTGAAGTTCGAGTTCTTCTTCCTGATGGAACTTCTTTGAGTGTTATGATTCGCAGGAATGCTTCTGCAAGCTATTTATACTCTATTGTACAAAAAAAATTGAACATGAGTCGAGACGTCGCGGCGTCTTGTGCGCTTTTTGAAATTTGTGAAAATGGATTCGGTATAGTTGCTTTCTTGAATTCGTTTTTACAACACCTTATATATTTTAGAACGGAAAATAGCGTCCGGAGAATCTCCACATGCCATATATGTACAAAATAATACTTCTGCTTCTTCTTCTTGTATTATCCTACGCAAACTACTATTTAATATTAACATGGAAAAAGAATTATGTTCAAGGGATCCCTTTTTCCTACTACTTACCTTCTACCAAGCAGTTTCCGATCTCGCCCAGGTTCGTTGCCCGGGTTTCATGTGCTTATGTGGATTTTGTTTCAGGAACGCATCAAATCTAACCAAAAATTGTACCAACTTAAATCATTACAAAGTGAAAAAACAGCATCTCAAGTAAGTTCTCATGCTTTCGGAAGATTTGCAAACAAAGAATTTCAGTTCCTCGAATTAGCTAGAACCTTCGAAGGTTACAATGAAGTCCAGTTTCCCTCATGTCCATGCGTCATCTCCAAAAGGGAAGGGAAAGTTAGTCTGATTTGCCAACCCGACATGCTAGTCATAGCTTCTTGTGACGATGACGGAGAGGTTGGTTTTTATAGTATGGAACGGGAGATATTTTTTGGTAACAGAAAACGAAAATGCTAATCGAGTGGGAGGATGTTGTTCTTTATCGTTTGCTGGACGACGCGACTACGTTTCTGATCGAATATAAGCCTGCAGGAAAGAAAAAAGGAAAAATAATTCAACTGTTCAGCCCTTTCGTAAGTGCAAAAACTAAAATCGAACAGCATTACGTATTCTTTAGACTTTCTATATGGCTGAGTGTTTTACACAAATACAGTTTGAACGGCAGGTAACATCAGATTGGAATTCACGTATGGGTTCCTCGGAATAGAGGAAGGGAACGGCTTTATGTACATATTCTGCTTAACGAAAGACACAAGATTGCGAGTTATATAAGTCTGGTACTTTTCATGACGCTTGCACATAAATATCTAAGTCAGCTTAAAATACGTTGTATATGGTGATGACTGTAATAAGTTGTATAGCATGCTAAGATTGTTTTATATATATTTTCTTCTTTATTAACTTTAATAATTAATTAAAGCTGTTACTAATTTTGTTTGCTGCCATATGTGTTATAGTTCTCCAATTCGTTGAAAACGATCGAAATATCTTTTGCGTGTTCTAGTGACATGCTCAACTATGTACGTATTAAGACATTCGTTTGATGAGGGATGCCGAAATTAAAGACAGTAAGAGTAGTCACAGAAAAAGTCAAAGAAGGAAAGGCACAGTAGGTGCTGAAAGGTGAGCTGGCATTGCTGATGTTCATAGCAAAAACTAATTTAAATAGATGTCCGGAGCTAAGCAGCAACTCTCCTGGGCCTGCTCCCGTTTCTATGAGACAGCAAATGGCTCTTCTACGGCAGGTTATTAATTATTTCAATCGTAGTCGAATATATAAATGACGAAATGTTCCAGCAAATGACACAGAGTAAACTTCACCAATCTACATCAAAAGGAAGCGGCGAAACTAATACATCTAAAAAGACTAACTCAAGGGTAAGTCTCTTCCTTTTGAATATTTGAATCGGTCCCTGGTCACGAAAGAGACGCTTGGGAGCTTTGTATGTGATACTGCATTACTTTGAAACATGAAACGATCACGTAGTAACGTGGCAAAGAGGATATTCATTTTGTTTGCGCGATTAGCTGCATACCGGTTGCTTTTATTTTCGTTCTCCATTTTATTTCGAATCAAATAGGATATTACAGGTTCATAAAAAGAATACAAGAGGCGAAACACCATTGCATATAGCTGCTCGTAAAGGAGACCAGCAAAAATGTCTTGAGCTGATTCGAGAAGGTAACATGATTGAGCACTTACTTGTAATTAACTAATTCATTTGTGAGGTGCTGATGTGAACAGTGCTGATTACGCTGGATGGACTCCGTTACATGAAGCGTGTAACCACAACCATGTCATTATTGCAACGATACTTTTGAAGTAAGTGATTGTTTTGTAGATGCTATCAAGCAATTTGCAGGAATGGTGCTCATTGTAATAAAGCCTCCGTTGACGGCGAGACGGCACTTCATGATGCAGCTGTTGGACAAGATATTGAAGTAGCTTTGTTATTGAAACTTAGAGAACCAACATCATTTTGTTATAGTTATTATGGTTGTTGTTATCGTTTGGAGCGGACCAAGAAGCAAAAAACAGTCAGAACCAAACGCCGATGGATTTAGCTCCTGAAGATAGTGATGCTTATAGGATCTTAGAATTGTATGATCGAGACGACGTGAGTATATAACCTTCTCTACCGAAGTCTCCCTGAAGTAATCGTTCGTTCATTTCTCGGGGGAGATCAGAGCAATCAACATTATGACTATTTATTAAACAACTCTTTCCAGCCTGAACATAATAGGGATGTTTTCGAAATATTCATAAGTCCCGTTAAAGCTGAAAAAGAAAGGAATTCTCGAAGAGAAATGCGAAAAAGGAGGAAACAGGAACTTGGATACTATCCCGATGTCACGGGGGAGAATAGACAAGTTGATGTACCCTGTAAGTAGACTTCATTCAGAGAAATTGTTATAGCCTGTGATTTTAGTAAACTCAAAAGAATTGAAGAGAATGAAGGCAGAATCGGATGAAGATTATGAGGAGGAGTTAGAGGAAATAGTGAAGAAGAAACGCCTTCAATCATATTACCAAGCCCGTAGAAAAGAAAAACTAGCCTTGAAAGTCATATGGCGAGCTGAGAACGCTGCTATGGCGGCTGAAGCTGCTGCGGCCATGAAGGTTCTTGAGGCGGCTGAAGCTGCTAAGAAAGCTGCTGAGGCTAAAGGTGCTAAGGCCGCTAAGGCTACTAAAGCTAAGGCTGCTAAGGCTGCTGAGGCTCAAGAATCTCCTACACTCTCTGATCCGCCTAGTAGTTCAACTAGAGTTCAACGTGCTAAAAAAGTTTCCGAACGTCAGCGTGATTCATCAAAAACGTCCAAAGTATCCCCCTCTAATCCTCTCAAAACAGACAAAACAGGAGAGCCTAGGACAAGAGGTGAAATGAATTTTTTTCTCTATCAACTCAAATATTTTTAGATAAACGCCTTAAGAGAGAGCTTGAAACGGATGAAACACCAAGTTCGTTGAACGGGGTAGTAAAAGAAGAGACAAGTGAAGATGATGACGATGTGAAGTCCGAGGAGGAGAACGAGAATTATGACAAACGTAGAAGAAGAAGACGTCACTCCAGCTCAGCAGAACGTAAGTTTTTTATGGTACTCTAAACAGACTCACTGCCAAATTGTAGAACTCAATGCAACTCCTAGCAGAAAGGGACGGAAGTTTCAACCTACGGATTCTAAAGAGAAGCGTAAGCTCGATTACAAACACAAATCGAAGGCTCGTAAAAAACAGTCAGAAGAGGAAGAAAATCTTGTAGCGGATAATCAATTACAAGGCGAGTCTATGGCGATCGATAAGGTAGAGGAGATTAGTCGTCGTAATCCAAGCCAACCTTTCCACTCAACTAAATCGCATTCTTCGCCTCAACCCACTCGACAGCAAATTAACGATAAACGGCAGTCATCATCTCATCGTTCTTCCGCAAAGCGGTCATGCTTATCGAATGACAATATTGAAGTAAAGCACGAATCGTCGGATGAAGATGAGTCGCCTTCTCAACGGAGGAAAAACAAGCGTCGAAACCGTGCTGGTACGTCCCCAGACGTGCAATTAACAGATACCCCTACAGTACGTATACGACCGAACTATTATGAGAAACAAAGATTAAGGACCCTCCGAAGATCTTTACGTCCTCCGGTAAGTTCTTTTCAACATTTTATAATTCTTTCTTCCTTTTCCAGAGCAAACGTGAAATCAAATACATTGATCCTTTCGATCACGCTGTTGGCATCGTGGATAGTTCCGGCCCAGAAGAAGATGATGAATTTGTAGAAGTTCCCGTTTCATTCCTACGTAGAGAAGTTAGTGCTGTTTCATATGAAGAATCCCCTAGTCCTCGGAAGCCGAGGAAAAAATATTCAGAAAGTCGTCCTCGTAAAGATCGAAAAGTTTCGAAAATTAACAACTCTCCAACATACAATGATAGGTATCCTTCTACATCTTCTGCAATGTATCTGAAACCTGGACCTTTGGGTTCCGAAGATTTTTATGCAAGACTTCCTCACCCTAACTCTTCTCCTCCTATCTCAAAAAGCGAAAAACCAGGATTAAGGGAATTGGCTATTCGTAGGGCAAAAGTAATAGATGAAACACATATTTGGGAGAAACGTCCAAGTGTTATCCCACTTCCTGATGTTACGTTTGAAGAATACATATACCGCTGTTATATGAAATTTGCCAGTTCTCCTGACCCTAATGAAGATCAGGATGATTCAATTCAAGAAGAATCACAGAAAGGGGAACACCTACAAGTTGCACATGAAGAGGTTGTCCATGAAGAAGCTTCACATGAAGAAGTTCCACATGAAGAAAGTGCTCAAGAAAAAATTGTCCATGAAGAAGTTTTACACGAAGAAGTCGTCCATAAAGAAGCTGTTCTTGAAGAAACTGCTCATGAAGAAGGTGTTTGTGAAGAAGCGGCTCATGAAGAAACTGCTCACGAAGAAGTCGCTCATGAAAATATCGTCCATGAGGAAGTTTTTCATGAAGAAATCGTCCACGAAGAAGTCGTAAACGAAGAAGTTGTCAACGAAGAAATCGTCCACCAAGAAGTCGTTCATGAAGAAGTCGTCCATGAAGAAGTTCTCCATGAAGAAGTTCTTCATGAAGAAGTTCTCCATGAAAACATCGTTCACGAAGAAGTTGTTCATGAAGAAGGTGCTCATCAAGAAGGTGTTCGTGAAGAAGTTGTTCATAAGGAAATCGTCCATGAAGAAGTCGTCTATGAAAAAGCTGCGCATGAAGAAGTCGTCCACGAAGAAGTTGCACAGGAAGAAGTTGCACAGGAAGACGTTGCACAGGAAGACGTTGCACAGGAAGACGTTTCTCATGAAGAAATTTTGCATGAAACAATTGTTCACGAAGTTGCAGTACAAAACGTTGCAGAACAAGGTATTGCAGAACAGGATGGGGCAGTTGAAGACGTTGCGAAACAAGAACTGCCACTAGGAGAGGTCAAGCGTTATGAAGTACTACATCAAGAAGTTTCACATCAGTTAGAACCACATAAGGGAGCGCAAAATGTTGTACGACAACAAGATATTCTGAATGAATTAATTGTAAACCGAGGAGTTGTAGACCAAAAAATGGAAGATCGAGAAGCCATACACCACGAGCAAGTAGTTCAGCATTCAATTCTCCATAATCTTGCATTCCTAAACGCTTCTTCACAAGAAACTCCACAGTTTGGAACTCAATATGGGGGTGCCGTACACAAAGTGGCTTCTCATGAGCCAGCTTCAGATAATGTTCAAATGGAAAACGTTCCTGTGCAAGACACTGAAATGTGCATCACTGCTTGGCCTGGCACGTCATCGGAAGGTGTTCAAGAACATACGCACGGAAAAGCTACGCCTGTAGAACTATCATCACAAGAAGTCTCGTCTCAAGAAACTACAGCTCAACCTTCTACTCAACTAACCATGCTATTGGAAGCTTCATGTAGAAACGCTTTATCTCAGAGCACTGTAATTCACGATGGTTTTAATCATGAACCTTCATGTCGAGAAGCGACATCTGAACATATTTCGGTTGATGGAGTTCCTCCTCGAAATGATACTGTTCCAAACTTTTCATCTCAGAATGCATGTACAACAGATCTAGCATCTACAACTTCAGAGCATTCTCTTATTCAACCTTTCCCAACGAATCTTGTTCCTCTTCAAATCGAGCATACCCAAAATGCTGGTATTGGAGATGCTCTGCATGACATCAGAGAAGGTGTCATGCCTAGTAATGTTCCACCTGATTCTGGATTCAATGTATTGCCATCTCAAGATGTTTTTCTACATAACGCTCCGAATCAAGGAATATCACTCTCCAATGTTCCAATACATTATTTTTTGTCTTCAGTAACTTCCAATCATAACGTTCCATCTTTGGATGTTTTCTCGCAAGGTAATTTCTCTCAGAACTTACAAAATGTTTCCTCAGGAGATGGCACAACAGAATGCGTGTTGGGAAACTTAGCATCAGATACGTCAGAATCGGTCAACATTCCATCATATAATGATATTGGGTCATCCATTCCAATTTACCCATTGCCTCTCATGAATGATTCTTGCTCTGAATACCGAGAACTTCCAAATAGTAATGATACTCAAGTTATGGAGACAGATGAAGGCTCTGCTTCTGCACTTACAAGCAGTATGGAAGTAGATCTTTCAAATAATACCGAAGGTCAACCTCTACCAATCGATGATTCTCAGCTCGAAGAAGACGAATTAGTTTCGAAGGATTCATTACCACCTGAATTGTCGTACTGGCTTTCAGTTCAGCAAGCTTCGAAACAGAATTCGCCAACAACGTCATCTGTTTATTATTCTCCTACAGTTTCGACGAACTCTGATGGGTCTAGCCAAACTGAATCACTTTCATCAAAATCATCCAATCTTGCCGATTCTGATAATGTTGATTTAGAGGAATATCTTCTAGATGACATGCCCGATCCCAACGACGCACCGGACGCTCAACGCAACACCTCACCACCGAACGGTGAAACGGGAGACGTTCTATCATTACTATCTGCAAAGTCCCCTCCTTCTTTCTTTGAAAATGTATCGACCACTGAGATAATAGAGAAGATTGACCAATACACTTCATTGGATCCTGTCCTTTTAGAAGGTTTAAAAACTTTGGCTGAAGCAGAATCCGATTGTCAAAATGCGGTTCCGAGTTCGTTCTCAGCTCCAAATAGTCCTGAAACCTCATCAGGTGTCGACGGGCTAAACATTATTTCTCAAGATCCAGGAGAGCAGTCTACATTGGATTTAGTTCCGCCTATGCCAGAAGAAGGTCCATGCGATCGAGATTCATCAAGTTCTAGTAGCACAGTTTCTCTGAGACTGTTGTCAGAAGACTTTGAAGACTATCTATCACATTCAGGGCTTACTGATTCTGCAGAATCTTCGGACTCGAAAAATGGTTCTACAGACGATTCCAGCTTAGCAAATGTTGAGAACTCCAGTGCGATTCATGACGGCTCTGATAATTCAGACATAACAATAGATTATACCGGAGCCATCAGATCTCAGGAGGTAACAGCTCGAGATATTCGGACAGCGTTGCTGAATTCTGAATTCTTTGTTGATGCTTTAATGATATATCATAGGCGTATTGATGAAGAAATGACGTTGAGAAATGTCGTCTACATTGAGGATCCAGAACCTGTAGGGATAGATGATACTGAGGAAGAACCAATCCCACCTGTCGGATCTCCTATTGAACACTACCAGCGTGAATCATCTTCCCCAGGTCAACAAGGAGATTCTGATGTCGATTCTTCCATTAAATCTCTCAGTGATGACAGCGAAGCATCACCACGAAGTGCCTCACAGAAAATCTCGAAGAAGACTTCCCTTTCGCCCCGATCTCATAATAATTCGGATGAACTTTCTGATTCATCACAAGGAGAGTGTGATGATCCTACGTCTCCATCATCTCTGAGAGAAGATCGTGCAGTAGATTCTCCGTGTTATGAAAATACACACCAGGATCTTGATATTTCACAGTTGGTTGAACCGAAGGTTGAAGAGCTTTCAGTGGATGTAGATAATCTTACGTCATCACCTAGGTTTATTGAAAAAGCTGCAGGCTCTTCTTCCTCCTCTTGCAGTTCTTCTTCTTCTTCAACTGCTTCTTCCTCTTCTTACTCTTCATGTAGCTGTTCTTCATGCCGTGAAGCTCCTTCTTCTGCTTCCTCTTCGACTGTCTCCCCTTCGACTGCTTCCCCTTCCACTTCTCCTCTACCGAGATCACCAAAAGAAGAACTTGTAAGAAGTATGTCTCCTGACTATCTAGAAGCGAACTCTGATCATTCCCCAAAAAGTCGGAGTGACGAGAACGAAGCAGATTTAAAGCAACAAAGCGATATGGAAGAAGAATACTCAGCTGGATCGCCAAATGACGAAGATAATGAACATGTACTACCTTTACAGTATTTAGAGGACGAGCTGCGTAAACTGAAAGCAGAGAACGAGCAGAATAAAGCTTTTGAAAATCTTTCACCCATCCGTCCATTATGGGAGGATGAGAAATCACAGTCACCAGATGATGAAGATCCATCAGCGCTTCGAAAATCTCGTGGAAGTTCTAACGATTGTTCTTCTCCAAGTTCTACATCATCAAAATCTTCGGAAGATAATTTTCATAGGTCTTCGTTGGAATTCAATCAACCAAAGAGTTCAGATGATGATTCTTCAGGTGAATCTTTCTCGCCTGCATCCTCCAAAAGAGAAAGGTCATCATCAGAAAGTAGCGCGAAAAGCTCAGTGTTATCGAATTCACCAGGAAGAGTCATTGAAAACGAGGATTCATATCGATTATCGCCTAAACCCTCACAAAGCTCTGACTCCGATGATCCTTCTACAAAGGTTGAAAACTCTCCTGAACAATCAACAGGCGATCGTTTAGAAGCTCTTTCCCCAGTTTGTTTACAGGATGTTCAAGATGCACAGTCTTCCAGCTCCGAGAGTAAGAATTCAAACGACTCTTCTCTTTCTTCTGATGTCTTTGAAGACGAAAACGCTGTAAAATCTCCAACACCTGTACATTCTGAGGCTGGTTCATCTGACAATGATGGTCCTTCTGTTTGGATTAAGGAGTGTGTAGTGGAGTCTGCAATGTCCACTGAATCGCAACAAGAAAATCACGATGGAATTCCAGGCCAAGCGGATAGGATTTGTGAGCCAGTGCAAGTACCAGCGATTAACAAATTCAGTGAAGATTTCTACAAAGACTACCTTCGAAGAATACTCATAGAAGAGCAGTTTCTGGGAATATCAACATCCAACTCCGTGGACGAACAATCGCCGACTAATAAAGAAGAAGCGTTGAGAAATTCGTCAAGTTCTTCAGAAAATAAGTCCGATAAGTCTCCTGACCTTGGCCGGTTACTGAAAAGTATTTCAATTCTTTCTAAAGCTTCTGAAAAACCAACTAATAATCGTGATGTCCCCTGTGCAACAGAGCACGAGGTTTCTGATTATCCATATGCTCCCTTTATTGACGTGGTAACTACTCGTTATCAGAGATATAATTGGGATGAGAGATCGGATGAAACTATAAAAGTTGCTCCTGCATTCAGAAAAAGATCTTATAGTTGGAGTGAGCACGGCATTCATCATTTCACTCAAGATGCATGGTTATATCCTATCACAAGATCTCTCTCATTGGATAAGGGAACATGGTTTTATACCGAAGCTATAGCTTCTCTAACAACACCTCCAGTTGATCAGTTTTTTCGAGAACATTTTTGCGAAGAAAATGATGAAGAAGAAGAAGAGGAAAAAGAAGAAACTGGCGGAGAACTTCGATTGAAAAATGTGCCTGAAGCAGATCCGAAAGAGCATTCTGAAGAAGGGGCAGAGATAGAGGACACCGATCAAGAGCAAATGGAAGTTGACGTTGCAGCAGGAAGAGAAGAACAGATGGCTGATAACGAAGAATGTGAAATGGAGGACGAGGAAATGTCGGATGAGAGTAGCACGAACGATGATGATGAGGAATCAGAGGATAGCGATCAAGATCGTCTTATATCTACCACGAATAACGATAGGGACAATGAGTTTTTGTATTCTGAACCCGAACATGGAAACCATAAACCACGAGTAAGGTCGGATAGACGTGCTGCAGAGTTCACTATCGAACCCCAACAACTGACCACGGCTGAAAAGTTTCCAGAGTCGGATCATTATATTTGTGATATACAAAAAGATGGAAGTGTACAATCCGAGTCCGATGACAACCGATCATATACAGAGGTAAGTTATCCATTTTTTAGTTATCAGCTTATTCCCACATTTCAGAGCGACAGAAGTTCGTTTTTCACTCGATCATGTCCTGAAAATCACCCCTTCGATATTCATAAAGCGTTGAGTTTTTCCTCGGATTATTCTGATCCGTTCCGTTGCATTCCACGTTTCGAAGATCTGGTGAGTTTCTTAATGAGTACGTTGTTGAATCATATATCATTCAGAGTGATCCTGTGCTCAAGAAATATTCCTACTGTTTAGCGAATTTGATTTCTGACTTACAGGTTAGTATTTTCTCGAAATAATGTTCTTAGTTCTAGTTTACGAGAGCAAGCAGCTCATGAGTTCTATTTTCAGAAAAATTCTGATCGTTACATTGAGCTAGAGTACTTGAAAAGCACACGCTCAGAACCTAGTCTGCTTCGTTGTTCGAAATATTATGCCCCGATTCCAAGACGTCGTTCTTTTGGCACGATTTCTGAAGTCCGACACAGGGCCCAGATAGAACTGAAAGATCATTTTAGTCATATGAAGTATTTTTCTTTCGGAATGCCTAAGGGTTTCATGGAGCACTACTCAGAAGAATATTATAGTGAAGGAGAATCAGAATACACGAGTTATGAAGAGAGCGACTCACAAGAAGTCTCACAAGAAAGTAGCCCAAGATATCAGGGAGTTCAGTTTGATAGTTCGGCTTCCGAGCAGGAAGATTTGGATAATGAAACTAATGAAGAAGATCTGAGCGAAGATTGCAATTATGAAAAGGAGCTGAATGAACATCTAGCGGTTCAAGAGGAAGAGAATGATGACTTCAACCTCCAACGAGAAGAAGAAGACGTTTATGAGGAAAATGCCGATAGCTCCGATGATATGGATGAACAAGAAGATGATGTTGGTTCAAGCAGTCCCCAAGATGTGGAAGAAGATCAAGAAATGACTGAAGACGCTGAAGACGATCAAGAAATGCTACATTATGTAGAAGAAAGTCAAGAAATGTCTGAAGATGTAGAAGACAATGAAGACTATGAAGACATGCCTGAAGAAAGAGAAGATCATGAAGAGCAGGTTCGAGAAGATTTTGAACTTCAGGAATCGGATGAAGAGCTCCAAGAGGATATTTACGACCATGATTGTGAAGAGTGCTATGAAGAACAAGTATACCATAACCAGTATGACAACGAAGAACATGTACCGGAGTATGGAGTAATGGAGCACATTGAACAAGATCAAGAATTTTCCGAAGAGTACAATGAAGATGATGACCAACTCGAAGAACGGAGTAGCTCAGAATCCGATCAAGTAGATGATGAGGAAGATGGTGATTATGACGTTCAACACCAAGAATCACAAGATCCAGAGGCTTACGTTGATGAAGATTGTGACGATAATGAGAAAGGCTATACTGAGGAGTATGAAGAGTGTGATGATGACGAAGATCAAGAATATGTTGATGGTCATGATTCCATACATTATCAAAACGAGCACGATCAGGAATATCATGCCGAGCACGATCAAGAGAGTGATGGGGAAGGTGATCGAGATTATCATAGCGGAGAAGATCAGAATGATAATGAGCAGGAGTATGGATACGATGATGATGATCAAGAGTATGAATACGATGATGAAGATCAAGAACACCCCTCGGAAGGAGTAGACGATCATCATCGTATGGACGATCAGCACTATCCAGAAGAATACTATCCAGAAAGTCATACCGAGCAATATCAAGAGAATCTCAATGAAAGTGTTGAGGAGGATTGTTATAACGATAATGAAGGCTACTGTGATAGAGAAGAAGTAGAACATCCTGAAAACGATTCACATGCATATCATCATGAGGAGCTTCACCATTATGATCAAAATGAAGACGAGTATGCTGATCAGGTACATTATTATGAAGATCAGGCCCAAGATGCTGAGGACGAAACGAATTCTTCACAGAGTAATGAGGAGGATCAAGACTGTTGCGATCAGCACGACGAAGAAAATCTTGAAGACCAGGATGATGACGACTCTCAGCAAATTCACGAGTTTAACGATGAACATCATTTTAAGTCATATGAAGAGCCGCAAGAAATGTCTCACGAAGAACGAGATTGTGTTATTGATGGTGTATACGAGCACACTTCTAAGGATGAGCTAGAACATCCGTCAGAGAGCGAGCAAGATTTTGGCGAACCGGCAAAGCATGACGATGAAACTTTTGTTCAGTCAGTTCACATGCTACGTCAGGAAAAAATTCCGGAACGTCGTATCACGTACAGCCAAAAGTACGACCCGGCGCATGATCCGAATGTTTATGCTGAGCATGCTGAACGATTTCATCAAGAAGAACCTCATAAGCGTGACGAATCTTCTGAGCATAGTGAGGACTCCGATGAAGAAAGTGTTCAGGAATACGATGAAAAGTATCATCATGAAGAGCGTGATCAAGAAAATTACGAAGAAGAAGAAGAATGTGATGCAGCAACAACTAAAGAGGAGGATGAACGAAAGGTCAACGGATACCAAGCTGATGCTCTCAATCGAGAATACCTCGAGAGATATCAGAGAGAACAGGAAGAATATTACGATTCTGATTATGATGAAGACCGCGTTAGGAAGTGGGTTGAAGCGCTTCATGGAGAGTATGACGAAGATCACGATGAAAGATACATTCAAGAGTATTATCGAGAAAATGCGATGGGACATAATCAAGAATACCCTGAAGATTCCCCTCCACCATGTGGAACAGATGAGTACGAAAACCAAGAGCAGCAAGGTGTTCATGACCAATCAGAGGAAGCTGTTAGCAATAATCCACATGTTGAATATCACCAACAGTACGAGGTAGAAGCTAGTGTGGAGGAGGACTATAAAGAGTCGGAAGAGGAGCATCTCGAACCTGTATATCAGCAAGAGGACGATGTGGAGATGAAAGACAACTTCGAAGAAAACAGCAATGAATATATCGATTATCAGGTCTACGAAGAGAAGAGCTCATATGTTCCCAAAGAAGAGTATCATTATGAAATTCAAAATGTCAAGGAAGGTCTATCAGAGAGCCCCTCAACATCTGATGACGATAACAGTGACAGTGAATCTTGTGAGCCTGAAAGTGAATGCGAAGAAGAGGATGTTTGCTCTGATGATGGTGATCCAGATTCGGCTGATTCTTCTGTTATGAATCTTGGAGATGTCATTAGTGAAATTGTAATAGACAAGTTTGCTGAGAGCTCACATCTGGAGGACATGGAAGTCGATACGAATGACGATGAAATAAAGATGGAATGCCATTATACAGAGGATATCGCTCATATTGAAAAAGAAAACAACTCACTCTCAGAAATAGAACAAAATGCTAACACGGAGGAGGACGTTAAGTTCGACGTTTCTAACATGGTATCTTTCTGTTTTCTTATACTCTTTAAACTGAACTTCTTTCCAGATTAACAACAATAGTAATGAACTGAATGTCTCTCCCGGAACCTCCACTATGGAAGAACAGTAAGTCAATGATCTACTTGGAGATGTTCTCATGAAATGTTGCAGAATGAAAAAAGAACAAGACAAGCTATCTCCTACTGAGGAGTTCTCTCTCGATGGTAAACAACTACTGCCGCACGGGCAATTCAATACGGGTCAATCTATTAACGATAACAACATTGATGCAGTAGCCAAAGTACCAGAAAGGTTGTTGAACACCCTCTTATCATAGTTTTAATATGTGTTGTTAAGAGAGGAAGAGCCCCAGTCTAGAGAAGATACCACAACTGTGGATGTTTATGAATTCCAGGCCAGTCCAGTTTCCGTTGAAATCGTAAGTCATTGTGAGATATTTTAAATCACATTTAAACTATCAGGGTGGTTTCGACGACGACGAAGATATAAAACAGCCGTTAAAGATCATTAACAAGCCATCAGAAGAAGAGTTGGATTCACAGAAGCCTGGAACAAGTGAAGATCAAGCCGTGCTGGACGATGATGACATGGAAGACACAGATGATTCCGATGTTATTATCATCCCACCAGAGATAGTGACGCATGAAAGCTATCCTCATCAGTCTATGGACAAAAAAGTTCCACCTCTGCGTATTATGATACCGAAAAGCCCATTCGAAAATGAACTGTTAGACCACGATGCCTTAGGCGTTTTATTGCGCTCTAAATCTCGTATGAGACATCTCTTACTAGCAAAAATCAACCAGTTAGAAGATGCTCAAGGCCTGCCGCGTAGTGCGGTAAGACAAATCTTGCATTTTTTAAATAATATGGTCTTTCAGTTGGATAAAGAAGATCCGTGTTACGATACCCAAAGAGATCCGCATCCTTGGACAAGGCTGCGTTGTATGGAAAGTTCAGATGATGAAGACGGTTGTTATGGAGAGGTAATCACATGCTTAGCGGGTTTAACTAACTTTGTTGCAAAATTTAGAGCCCCACCATGGATGAAGATTCGATAGACGAGGAAGAGGAAGAAAATGAAGATATCAATGATAATGAAGATGATGATGGAGATGGAGATCAAAATGGAAATGGTGATGAAGATGAAGATGAAGGAGAAGCTCCAGCTCGAGAATCCCGTCAAATCGTCAGAAAAGAAGAAGCTATGGACGCAATAGATGGAGGAGAACTCAGTTACGAAGATGATGAAGAAGACCAAGAAGAGCGAATCGAAGTTGAAGTCGAAACAGAAGATGATGATAGTGATGATAGCGATGATAGTGATGGTAGCGATGATAGCGATGATAGCGATGATAGCGATGATAGCGATGACAGCGATAACAGCGATGACAGCGGAGACAGCGAAGACAGCGAAGACAGCGATGGCAACGATGATAGCGATGATAGCGACGATGAAGATGACGACGATGAAGATGACGACGATGATGACGATGACGATGACGATGCCGACGAAAACGACGGAGGCGACGGCAACGGCAGCGACGATGGCAATGACAGCAAAGGTGGCAACGATAGCAACGACAGCAACGACAGCAACGACGGCAACGACGGCTACGACGAAGATATCGAGAGTGTCGAGAATGTTGAAATTGTTGAAAATAATGAGAATGATAAGGATGACGATGATGACGATGATGAAGTTGCTGAAGTTGCTGAAGATGATGAAGATGATGAAAACGGTGAAGACGGTGAAGACGATAGAGACGATGGAGACGATGGAGACGATGGAGATGATGAAGATGAAGAAGATGAAGAGGATGAAGAAAAACCAGAAGTACAAGAACAAGATCAAGAAGAGGAAGAACAAGAAGGAATAGATGGTTTATATGAAGAAGTCGAAAAAGTTGTAGAAGTCATAGAAGTCGCAGAAGGCGCAGAAGTAGCTGAAGTCGCAGAAGACGTAGAAGTCGCTGAAGTCGCTGAAGTCCCAGATGTCGCAGAATCAGCAAAATTATCAGAATCATCAGAACTAGCTGGAGTCTCGGAAGCTGTCATAATCGAAGAAACCGTTCAAGTCGTAGAAGCCGAAATGGAAGGAGATATAGAAGCTGAAGATGAGAAAATCACAACCGCAGAAACAATGGATAAGAACTCAAGCGCAGAGCCAGTATCTGATACTGAATCATTCCAAGCAGAATTTGATGAAAACGACGAGAAGGAAATGGTACAAACGGAGATAGAAGATTATATTGACGAAGAAGAAGAAGATTCCATGAAAGAACAGTTTACGGAAGAACATGTCAATGGTGACGGAGATATAGTTGTATCGGTAAACGACTACTTCTTGGATGAACTAGGGTACGCCCTCGATGATAATCTTGATCCTGATGAGTTCATGGAAGACCCAGATAAAGATATGTTCGTACTGCGTGAATTGGTATGCATTTAACTGTTTTTTTCAATAACAAATTCATTCTGTTACAGATCAGTCAACGCTGGGCAGAAGAATGTGAAAGAGATTTCGAGAGCCAACAGCTGTTCGATTATGATGAGTACAGAAGTCTTGATATATTCCGTCCCGATTGTGAATTGGGATTATGCAACTACAAGTTGATGAAGTATCGAGAAGTAAGTTGAATAGTTACAATAGAAGCAAGTTGACTACTTTGTAGGGTCCTGCACCATCATTTCTACCTCCTAAGCTGTTGGAATTATGGAATTTCCAGATCCAAGAAAGGTATGTTGATTCTGATGTTGTTATTGATACAGTAATATATCTACAGAAGAGAGCTGGCTGTATCTATTTTGGTTGAAAGGTGTCGTTTGAAGCTGTTTTGTGAGCATGAGCTGATGAGGATGGAGCAAAGACAAAGCGGCATGAGTACAGTTATAACCGCGATGCGGGTGATGCACGACAGAGAAGTGTGCAAGTATGCTTTCTTTCAACCGAGCTGTTTCCAAGAATTAATTGTTACAGTCCTCTCATTTTGGAAAAGGATAACAACGAGTTGGATTATGATGAGGATCAGTTTGTAGATAAGATAGCAGAGAAGTTGGTCTCAATGAATAAGAGACATAGAATGAAAGTGGAGGCCCTTCATGAACATCAGGTTCGTCAAAACATCCGCATTAAACATAAACAACCGTTCTTACAGAAGGCACTTTTTAAAATGGAACTACTAACCAACTGTGGTTCAACCGCTGCAGGTCATCACACCGAGGTACCTGCAGCAAACCTCGACGAGTTTCAAATATCATTTTCTTAGTCATACGTGTATTTCATTACGAGTATTCTTTTTATTTTTTTTTTGTTTAAAAATTATAAAATTAACGATTTCTTTCTCCATCACAGTTTGATCTGATCAATACCTCCGAATGTTCGACTGTTCTCCTGTTTAAAACATTTTTTAAGCGAAAATGCACAGCG